TTCCCACGCTGGCTCGCTAGCGGCCTAGCAGCCCTTCCCTTCTCTTTTCCTCACAGACCGCCCGCTTCTTCATGGCTTTTTTTTTCTTCTCCAGCACGACGACGGCATGCTGCCCAATCCAGCTTGGTGCCCCAGCCCGCTCGGCATTTCCCGCATGCACTGCCATCCGCTCTCTCCCTTCACTCACTGCACTTCTGGCCCCACCTATCAGTGCCCATCTCTTCTTTTCCTTTCTTCTTGCCCCGGCTCTTTCCTTTCTTCTCCGGCCGCCGAAGGCGCTGCCCGGCATGGAATCCCACCGCCGTCGCCACATATGGAAGGCGGCCAATCATGCCCAAATCTTTTGGCTCCCTTTCCTTCTAGCACTCACCGACCAGCCTATAAAGCCCTACACCATCCCTTCTCCCTCTCCCATCCTCTGCTCATAGCTGAATCCCACCGCCTCCGCATCTCTCCCTCGCCCGCGCCTCAGAGCTCGACGCCGACGCCACCCGGAGATTCGCCGTGACCTCCCGCGCCCTTAGGCACCTCCAGTTTCATGAATTGGTCACATATTTCTTGAATGCTTCCTCACCCGCATGCTCTCTCTCTCTCCAGAGCATTGTCGCCATCAACCTCGCCTCTAGAGACCGCCCTGAACGCTGTGAACGGCTCCACCGGACTCGCGGTGAGCTTCCGACGCTTCCCGTGCCCTTTCTTCATTTTTTGCGCACTGGAGCGCCGTATCGGCGAGAGCCAGTCATGGCGGCCATGGCACCGCTGTGGGAGCCGTCAACGCCGGCGACCTTCCGTCCTTCGCAGCAGCGTCGTTGGATCTTGAATGAGCGGTCGAGATTGCGTACCCCTTCGGGGATTATAACCGGTCCACCGGTTGGACCATGGACTCGGTCTGCAGCGCCACATCAGCGTGCCCACGCACACATGGTGCACCGCGCCACTCACACACTGCCACGTGGCCGCCCAGTCAATCGGTGACGCGGTCAACCGCGACCTGCTGCGCATTTTTGCGTTTTAGCCCTTCGGTTTTCTCAGAATCAACCCGCAGTACTCATTAGTTCAAAAGTATTTCTATTCAGTCCCGTTTTCTTCCAATTTAGCCCCTATATTTCTAAGTAATAGTGCCCGCAGTCCAAGAACACGTTACAGTATGATTTTATTCAAATTTAAGTTTCTTTTATTTATAGAAATGCCATTACATCTTATTTCATGCATAACTTTTGCGTTTTAAGTCCGATTTGAGTGATTCTTTCGCTCACGTGTTCGTAGCAGTACGTAGAACAGATTCATAAGCTTTTCAACTTATGTTTTTACTGTTTGGTGTACTGTTCTAATGGAGGTCTATCTTGTATGCATGTTATGATTGGTATGATGCTTGATTGGTGATTGGATCATGATTAGAGGGTGAGCCATTTGAGGTGACTGAGGACCCATAGCAGGATCAGCAGTACTTCCAGGACAACTTTGAGGAAGGCAAGTGTACCAAAGCCCCCTTGTTACCTATGAACTATTACCATTCATATTCATGCATGTGTTTAATTTGAAATGCCTTTAAGGACTTTACCTAGATGATTACTTGTACCACATATCCTTGATACCTGGGGTTTTTGGGTAGGCATTTTGGATAGATGCTGCAGCGCTTCACATAAAGTAATTGTAGAACATGATTAAAGGCTATATGCAATGTGGTAAAATGGAACTTTTTAGCAACAGATAGGGGGCTAGAGTACGGGGTTGAGTACTCTAGTGCCTCTCCATAAGGACTTAATCCTGAAGCGGCAACCCAGTAGGGCCCGTGCAACCCCGAGTGTCATATGGCTCTAACTTTAACCTGTTAACTAGATTGTACTAGCTCGTCTATAGCTCCAGTGAGGGTAAGAGGGTATCTTTCCTTTTTTTCTGCTAGGGTGTGTACCGTGCTACCAATCCCACGTGTGCCACTCCTTTGTAGCTATGACTTGTTAGTACAACTAGCTAAGGGTTTCATAGTGAAACTCTGCCACACTTCCTAGGAAGAGGTGTAGTAGATCTCGCGAACCCCGGCATTGGGAATCACGGCTCGGTGGGTAAAGATGTACAAGTTCTATAGAAATAATTAACCTGTTATAACAGCCGTGCTCACGGATACGAGCGGTCTGGATCCTTCAAGATTAGTGGTTATTGTGGATGGTGGATGGTTAGGAATTGAGATAAATATGACTATACTTTAATATCACTTGGGAATTGGGACTGTTCATTAAAGTAGTGATTCAGGATGCTAAAATTTGATCAACTAAAATTGCGAACCGTAGTCAAACAGTGTCAAGCCTTTTGAGCCTCATAGATCCCTTTGATATACTTGCTAAGCATGGTGAGCTTACACTTGCTTTACATCCAATGAAAATCTCGGATGGGTAACAGATAATGGATATGAAGAGTTCCCGGAGGATGTCCAGGACTACTAGGGAGACGTTCACCAGTTGGAGTCCCTGTGGTAGTTGGGCTAGTTATTCCGCTATGATTGTAATAATATTGCTATTGAGCAAACTTTGTGATGAGATATGTGATGTAATAAGTACTTTACTTTGATACTATTGCAATTTGTGATATATGTGTGTGTTTGGACATCCTGGGCGCACATATATGAGTACTTGGTTTTGCTATGCAAAATTGGGTGTGACAACTTGCACCTCGACCTAAGGGTGTGCAGAAGGTGGATTATCGGCCTAATCAGGACCTAATGCTAAACTCTGCTTATGTAGCATCATCGCAATGGGTAACTCTCTATCGACAATTGTATTATCAGGACCAGTCAGATAACTAGTAATGGGATTGACTTGACTACCACATTGCAACTAAAGCGTCTAAAAGTCAGGGGCCTTAACCCCTGTGGCACTGTACAGTTGATTAAAGCAATCGGTGAACACATTGCACATCAGATCGATTTTTTGGCCTTGTTGGTTGATGGCCTCACAAAAAGCAGATGATTGCTAGATCATCTGCTCTTTAAGAAGGACCACACTCTCTGCTTGCTTATCAATACTTGCTTTCAAACACCTCTCTTGTCGTTCCATATGCTTGTGTTGTCGTTCCATATGCTTCTGGTTTTCTTCCTAGCCGACAACTAGCCTAGCAAGTATCTATCCAAGCTCCGATGGTTGCTGAACAGACCCTGGAGGCAGTGCCTGCTTGGCTAACGTCTCTGTAGTAGGTGGACCATAGTCCATCTCTTTTTATAGGCCATACCACCGGAGGACGACCCTCCCTCGTTGTCATCGTCTGACGTAGGGTCACGGTAGTCGCTGTCATCGGAGTCTAAATCTTGCATTCGTACATTCAAGATTCCTCCAATACTAGACTGGTGCTCTACCGGCTCTAGGGCTGCATCCACCATTTTGTGTGTTTCTCTATCCTGTATGGGTAACAGCTCTTGAACGAACCTAAGGGCACGCTGTCCATGATGACGATCGTTCGGACTTGCTGGCATGTATGTCATAACCTCATAGGTCAACTCGTTGTACAGTGGCCCATTCTTTTCAAAGTCAATCGTGCGTAGCAACACTACAAACTTCTAACCCTTGCGCAACGACGAGAAAACATTGCAATAGGCCCAATTTTGTTGCAAAAGGTAGTTCATACCACGAAATCACATTCGTTGGCAATGGTTGCAAAAAGTCATGTTGCAATAAGAACTTGCAACCATTGCTAGTTTGGCGTTGCAAGAGTTAGCTTTTCTTGCAACGTTGCCAAGCATTGCAATAGGACGTTATCGCAACATTCATTGGCGTGGCAATACGAGCACTTGCCACGTTTGTCTTCGTAGCGAGAGGTGGTGAATACAACGAGCGATAGTGTGGCAATAGATTTTTGTTGCCACGCTATAATTTTGTTGCTTAAGGTGTTGTTGCCATGACCGTTGTGCCGTGGCAAGTAAATCATTTGCCACGCAAATGTAATCGTTGCGAGAGAGTATACATTATTGCCACGCTTGTCTTGGCATGGCAATAGTATCATTTGCCACGCAAATTTATCCGTTGTGAGATACCGTTCATTATTGCCACGACCGCGTTGCCGTTGCAACAGTATCATTTGCCACGCAATTTTATTTGTCGCGATATACCGTTTATTATTGCCATGACCTCGGTACCGTTGCAACAGTAGAATTTGCCATGCAATTTTATTCATTGCGGAAGATTAATTGTTATTGCAACAATAGTCATGTCGTGGCAATAGTATTATTTGCAACGTAAATAAGTCAGTTGCCATACAACATATTGCCACGCATCACGGCTCGTAGGTATAGCTTTTATTGCAACGCTAGTAACATTTAATTTTGGTTTAATAAATCATCATTGCAAATCAATAAACCATATCAAAAGCAATTGCACCCACATATATTAATTATAATTAATCATTCAATATGTTGCCAAACCCATGAAATAGTAGCTAAAATCATAAACGAGTGTACAATTAACTCATTATTTGACAACTTTTTACAAACTTCCTAACATCTTTGTAGCACTTGAGAAATTCCTAGTAGCCCAACATGTCATCTCCTCGGCTATGTCCTCGCTTGATTATGAGCCTCCCACTGAAACCTTGCCCACCTACTACCAAAAGAATATGATTGGGATATTAGAACAATATTAAGTTTACTAATTTTTGCACAAATGTAAAGAGATGAAGATATAAAATGGTTCTAATTTCTAATTTCATATACAAAAGCCATCAACCAAGCTTTTGCATAGTTGAAGTTCTACTGCAATTCTGCAAATGAGCAAATGTTGTCGGTCGAGTTGCTGCAATTCCTTTTTCCATGAAAAAGATGGAAGTCATGTTCCATTGTTCCAGAACCACAAACGTATGAATCAATTTCTAGTTTTACTCAAATTCTTACTGTATGCTTATTACAATTATGTTTTTCCATGAAAATAGCATTCTGTGTTTTCACAATAACTTGATATTTTGTTCTCTACTTTCTCAATCTTTATTTTGGTCTCTGTATATCCCTCTCTTTTCAGAGTTTAAATGTTGTTCAAGATGTCAGCAATCCTTACTCCTTGGAAGCGTAGATGGCTGGGAATTTTAGCAAAATTCCACTGTAAGTATAGGTCGATTATATAAGTTCAATTGACTTTACAAATGATAATCTAAATTTTTTTGCAGGCTACATACTGAAGGCATGGTTCTATTGGGTAATACAAGTTTTTGTAGCAGTCTAGCAGACACATACAATTGTGTTCCATTTTATTGCATTATAAGATGTATGCATTCTCTTTTGCTCTTTATAAATTCTGCTAAAAGAAGCAGAATCTACCAGCAAGCCTTGGGGAGGGATGGAGAAGAAAATACGGCTTTGGTCCTATCCATCGTGGCCTTTTCAACGGATCAGATGCAGCTACTGCATATGTTACAGTAGCAGCTGCCTTCTCTGAATTTTTAAGGCAGTAGCAGTTTAGTTGATTAGAAAAATCATAACTTGAGTTGTAGACAACGAAAAATTATATTCTTTAACAATACGGAAAGCCCATGAAATTCTCTACATCTTTCTAGTTATTTGTTAAATAAGATTCTGCAGTTATCATGCTCAAAAAACACAAACACCCACTGCTGTCCAGACCAAGGTCAAAACCTGACCGGCTACTTTCAAAATTCATAACTCTAATTCTCTAGGTCTAAAATCATGACCTTTCACGACGACAAACATCTCTAAACCCTCTACAACTTTTGTATTATCAAGTATCACAGAAAAGGTAGATTACTACTCAGAACAACTCACCCAATCAAACCTGCACAAGCTGCAGTTTTCAGCACGCATGTTCAATGTATTTTCTACATTTCCTAGTTCAACAAGGAAGGTCACATTTGATAAAATTTCATTAAATCATGCAAGAATTTAGATTCCAATTAGCTGGTTGTTACCTTCCTCCTTTTGTGATTATTTCTTGTCCTATTCATCAGCTGCTGTGAAGTGATATATGTCTTCGATGCAGTCACATTTGCAGTGTTTTCGTTGAAAAGAGCTATGCTGGGAGGTGCAGTACTTCTAGTGGAGCGAGTAGGTGCTGGTGCACCTTTTTGTACAGTGACAACGCTTCCAGGCTGAGTCTACAAACATCAAGTTGTTTGATCTATTTTAGCTACAGTTCAAGGTACATGGAACATAGTGAAATAATGTCATTACCTCCTGTAACCCATCTTCATTTTCATTTTCATGTCCACCGGTCTCATCTTCCTCTTCTATGATTGGTGCAACTTGTGTACTAGCATTGTTTTGCAGGGTACTCTATACATACAAATATTGGGGGTGAAAGATTAGGCATCACAATCATAAGATTATCAAGAGTACAAAGGATAAAAAATTATTCTAATACCATAATCATAGCTCCTTCTTTGTGCTGCGCTAGCATATTAAGAAATTCTTGCTTCATTTCTTCTCTTAAGTTTATCTTAGCATTTTCTAGCTCCTCTTGCATCCTCCTCCTATTTTCTTCTTTCTCCCTTTCCCTTTCTGCAGCTTCTTGCGCAATCTGTTCTTTGAGCTTGTCAACCTCCGCTTCTAAAGCAATGCTCTTCTCCCTAGCTGCAGCTTGAGCACGTGCATGTACTTCAAGGTTCTCTTTCATAAGTTCTCTGCTTGAGCCGGTGGAAAAATCATCTCCAGCCGACAAAGGGTCTCCCTAATCGAAGTGCTCAGTTTTTCAATTTCTGAAAACTCCAACTCCTTTGAACACAGTGAGTTAAAGAACCTACTTAGCTCCATCAATTGAGCCACCACATCTTCAGGCAATATGTTGCGCACCACTAAAGGCAAAAGTTTTTGCAAGATTACGTGTAGGTCATGAGTTTTAAGTCTAGAAAGCTTGCAACCATTGACGTCCACACATCTCCGAATATTTGTGGCATAACCATCAGGGAACTTGACGCCATGTAAAAATTTGCACAGAATTTCCTTGTCATCCTTACCTAGAGAGTACAACGCTGGTGGCAAGGTGTACTTACCCTTTTCGAGCACTGGATGTTGATCTGGCCTTATACCCAAATGTTGCATATCAAGTCGAGCCTTCTCACTGTCCTTGCATTAACCTTGTAACTCCAACAAAGTCCCCAGTAAGCTCTCACATATGTTCTTCTCTATATGCATGACATCCAAATTATGTCATACTAGCAATGATTTCCAATAAGGAAGCTAAAAGAAAATACTCTTCTTCCTCCAGTTGTGCCACCTATTTTCTTCGTCATGTTGCTTCCTTTTCCTTGTATCCTTTCCAAAAGTCACTTGCTGGAAACTTTCATAGTCCCACAACACCGCTCACCATCGAAAGCAAAGACCGAGCTTCCTAGTTTCACCTTGTTATTGAAGCTCGTCTTGTTCCTTCACCACTTATGGTTCATGGGCGAAATCGGTGATGTCCCAAGTAGCAATACTTTGAGCCATGTTTTAACCACAAGTAATCAGTATGCTTGTGACAATAAGGACAAGCAAAGTTACCTTTTGTGCTCCAACCAGATAACATCGCATATCGGGAAATCATTAATTGTCCACAATGAGAATTGCATGTAGAGTAAAATTCTTCTTCTCCTTCTCATCCCATGTTAAAACTCCATTAACCCATAGATCATGTAGCTCATCGATCAGAGGTTGCAAATATACATCAATGTTCACTCCAGGAGATTTAGGCCTAGGTATCAACATTGACATCATCCAATAAGGTTGTTTTAAACACAGCCAAGGAGGCAGGTTATAAGGAATCAGTATCACGGGCCAACAAGTGTAATTAACATTCAACATCCCAAATGGATTGAAGCCATCAGATGCAAGTCCCAGTCTAACATTACGTGGATTAGAATCAAACCACTTATACCTATCATTCAGGTGCTTCCACGCCAATGAGTCTGCTGGATGCCACATTTTCCCATCACTAACCAATTCTTCCTTGTGCCACCGCATCAATGATGATGTTTCCTTTGACATATATAATCTTTGCAATCGAGGAGTAAGTGGAAAATACCTTAGAACTTTGCAAGGAGTGCGCTTCTTTGCTCCACCACTTTCGCTAGACTCGCCAATATCATCAAAATTTGTGTCGTCTTTCTTCCACCTACTCTCACCACATGTTGGACACATGTCCATATCAGCCATATGGCCCACGAAATAACACGATCATTCACACAAGCATCGATCTTAATGTATGTGAGGCCAAGGTCACGGATAATCTTCATGCTTTCTTGATAGTGTCCGGGATACAATGTCCCTAGGGGGCGTATCTCTCCATAGGCTAAGTGTTTGCTCTGTGTTCTCCTTACTCCATCCACCCATGCACTTAAGTTTGAGAGCTTGACCAAGAATGATACCTTGGTAAGTCAGTGAGCTCGACACAACTCTTGTTAGCATCTTTCAACAAATCAAAGAATTTCTTTGCACTCTCACAAGGCTCTTCATTGGTATTGCCACTGGTCGCACCCCTAATTAATGCAGACAACATATTGTTGGTGGATGATGCATCATCTGGTGGGCCTACATTCAGATCCCTATCATCATTCAAAAATATGCCAGCGTTACCTTTCTCTTTGACAAAGTTCTCATCAAACCCTTTAGTTAGCAAGTCCATTTGAACCTCGGATTTTCTTTTGTACACGACTCCACAACACCTTGAACATGGACATGGTGCGAGTTTCGATGCATAGGTGCCTTGAAAATAGTATCAATAAATTTGTCCGCACACCTTGCCACTCAACCGATGACCAAGGCAACAACATCCAACTCCGATCATCATCATGTGCCATTAATTATATCTTGAAATATCACAATGATTTCTGTAGCATGTTAAATTGAAGGGATCATGACATTATTATAAACTTTATTTATCGGAGATAAAGAAAATTAAAAATCATCAATTTTCTCGAGCCAAGCTTAAAAAGGGCCCTTTACTTTAACTATAATTTAATAAACTTTAATGCATCCAAAGGGCATTTTATCAAACTTTATATACTAGTATATCTAGAGCAATATTCGAAGCTTAGCACTTGTCCATTGTGACAACAACTACCCAAATGTTTTTTTGTTGCTTTTCTCCATCCATGCTCGAGCAGTAGTTAATGGAAACAAATGATTATCTCCTTAAAATAAATGTGATGAACCGAAACTCGATTGGAGTATTACACATTAAGTCACAATAACTAATCAACACTTTGCTAGACCAAGCCAAAAACGAAACAACTAGACCTCGGCATAAATAGAGTACCATTGGCTAAGAATGGAATGTTTTTTGCAATCGAACGCACAAATTAAAAAATGTGTGGATTAGCCAATGCATCTGAATAAGAATCTTGCAAAACTTTGTCTAGATTATCAACAACATTGAGTAATTTGATCTAGTCAAGTACCAAACTTAACAGTAATATGTAGAGAAAAAACTGAGCAATAATGCAAGCATACGTGATTCTCTTTTTCACGTCGATGATCGCTGGCCGGCCGCTGATCGTCTCTCTCGTGGATGATGAAGGGTGCGAGGTGAAACTGGTTCAACGCTCCATCCCCTCTCGCACGCCGAGGAAGGACTGGATGGTGCTCGCTCTCCTTATCTCGTCGATGATCAGGAAGGAACTAGGGCACCAATATGCCGTAGTTGCTGTAGGGAATTCAAGGGTCGTGACGACTACGGCTGTAGGGAAGGGGTGCCACGACGACAAAGGCTTTAGGGTGGCCTTGACCACGCTAGCTGCTGGTGCTGGCTGTAGGGATCAGGGGGGCCTCCACCATGTTCTTCACAAGGAGACAACGCGTGGGGGAAGAAGAGAGGCCGCGGGAGAGAAGGAGCCGCGACATGAGCTACAGGCCGCAACCTCTACGTGATATGTAAAATTAGATTAGATCCTTTTTCTAATATAACTGGTCAACATTAATTAATATAGGGTACTTTCGCTATTACTAACACAAACATAGACGTAGCCTAGTGGTAGGAGCTTACTTTCAAAACCAAGAGGTCTCAGGTTCGAAACCCATATTGTTGTCATTTTTTTTAAAAAAATTTATGCAACCATTAAAGTGGAAAGACTTAGGTATTGCAACAATGTAATTTTTCATTGCTATATTATAACCTTTTTGCAATGAACGAAACTACTACATACAACAAAACCATAATCATTGCAACCTTAGTGATTGCAACGAACTATTTTTGTTGTTGCTATATGTACCAATTTTTTGCAACGCAAGCGACTATTATATACAACGGAACATATTCGGGGCGATATAGATGGGCTATTGCAACCATAAAATAAAGAGTTGCAATATCACCTTAGTATTGCAATGAAAATAAACTTGCCCTCAACGCAAATCAAATCGTGGCAACATTAATCACTTATTGCAACCGTTCAATAATTTGTTGCGATAACACTTACTTTTTGCAACGATCTCCACACTTATGGCCACAAAACAATCTTCATGGCAAAAAACCAATCTATCGTAACCAAAAGTGAAAATCGTTGTGATAACAACGCTTGTTGCAACAAAACCATGCCGTTGCGACAAAAAAGCGTGGTATAAGGGTCAGAAGTTAGTAGTGCAAATAGCTAATGATGTGAGGGTACACGTGCTGTCATCCAGTACTAATAGCGTTAGCTATCACATCCTTGATCCCATAAAGGAAAAAGTGTAAGAAGTCAAACTGCTCGCCTCTCCATATTGATAGTAGTAGCCACTGCTGCAACCTGGCCAACAACTCCCTATTGCCACCACGAGGAAGGACTATCTTCCTTAGAGCCATGTGTAGAACGTAAGCCTTTGGACATAGTCTTTCTAGTGTATGCAAGGAGCCATCGGTGAAGGGCTCCATGAAGAGTGGCTGAATCTCCTGGTCTGTAGGAAAAGTACCTCTAGCCCTGCTACGACGCGGAGGCAAAGCATCTCCATAGACTATCTCGTGGAGCTTCCTATATGAAGTGTCAACCCCAAGGAGTTCTTGCAGGTAGTCATAGGACATTCGCTCTAGCCATCCATAAAGCATAAAAGCAATGTAGTCATGCTCCGGATGAATCCACACTGTTGCATAGAACTGATGCACCTAGCTTATCAACCTCACTGAAAAGGTGAACGAAGCCCAGGAACCGCTCAAAGAGGGGCCGGATGGGTATACCAGCTGCTCTCTCAAGCTCATCCCAACAAAGTATCCTTTGGTCTACTAGTGCCGTCCCTCTAGCACAGTAGTTCCTGAAGAAACTCTCCTGACTCATAGTCCAGAACTATGATTTTGTGCTAGGCACTTTGAGTAGTGGAAACTAGAACTCAATATCATAGAACATGATGCTCCATATCTTCTTTGAGCTGTAATACCGAGTCATAGAACTGAACCACCTCTTTCTTTCTCTCAATATTACTGCTCCTCATAGCACCATTGGCAAACATCAAACCTCCTCGACTGCTCCTCGCACCACCATTGGCAGACATCAAACTACCTCCTCGACTTCTCCTTGTACCACTAATTGTGGCACACATCAAATTACCTCATCGACTGTTCCTTGTACCACCAATTGTGGCACACATCGAACCTCTAGGAGTGCGAGCGCACGCACCCCCATGAGTACCTATAGCTTTGATCTAGGAAGGTGCAAAGCGGCTGGTCTGGCTTTTGGAGTGGAACTTAGTCATTTCCTGTAGTTGTTCCTCAGTGAGCTCCTTCTCCCTAAGTTCTATTTTAGCACTCTCCTCACGCTGCTGCTGTTGGCAGGCCATTCGAGTCCACCTGCAAGAATTCGCAGACTCTAGGGCTAGCATAGCTTTGGTTGCTTCTTCCTCTGCTTCTCGGATACTGTCTGCCTTCCTCTGCCTCTTCTTAGGCTATGGTGGTGCTTGTTCCTCTACTTCTTGGAGAATGGTTGCCAACCTCTGGCTCTTTCTACAATGTGGTAGTTCTACCCGCTTTGATTTAAGTTGCGCCATCTGCAATAATCAAAAAAAATTTCACATGTGTTTCATCAAACACCACAACTTCATGAAGAAAAAAAAGAAGAGATCGCAGACAGCCTCACCGAGCTGAGGCAAGAAGGCGATCTCGACCGGCTTGCTCGCTGGAGGAGTGGCATGCTGACAGACGGCGGCGTGGTAGATTGTTGTGGCGCAGTAGATCCCCATGGCGCAGAAGGATCTAGGCAAGAGGTTTCGGTGTGCGGGGGCTGGAGGGGGGAGGAGGGAGGTGTAGGGTGGGTGCCACCAGAGGGGGCGAACGACGACAGAAATGGCGTGCAAAAGAGAAAAAGATGGGTACTGATCAGAGAATGCCTTTACTAGCGGAATGTCCCACGTGCGTGTAAACGCTGTCAAGAGTCGCCGTCTACCGAAACTTGGGGGATTAATATTGTTGATTCGATGGTTAATAAACATTAGTGTATTACTTTGTATATATCATCACCATTCATCATATAAAATTTGGTCTCTACTCACAAGATGCCAGATGGGGCGGTGATTTGCCCGCACAAAAATAAAATCCCCACGCCCAGCAGTGCCGCCAACACGAATCGAAAATTAGATCTCTCGGTTTTGCCCTCCTTGTAGAAAATTGGTTCACCATGCCATCGATTGTAGACAAGGGTATTTGCGGTATTATGATGGCCACATAAAAGCACAAGGAGTCGTCATCTCCGCTTCCATCTCCATTCTCCAGCTAGACTAGCTGGACCGTCTCTCCTCCTGCTCCAAAGCCTAGCCCCCTCTGCCACCCCAGTCCAAACCCTAGCTAGGTGCATTGGCATAGTAGCTTGACTCTCTCTTCACTCTCCAGACACACCCTCTCTCATACCTTTCTGAACCCAAGCTAGAGCCAGAGCCAGATCCGTATCCGATCCCCTTCGTCGATCGCATGTCCGCTGATGGTGGAAGGACCACCATCAGTGGCGGTACATGCCGGATCTAGACCCCTTATGTCGACAATTGTCATGACCGAGCCCTAGCGTCATTGTTGACGATCGCCACACCAGATCTACTACCCCTTTGTCGACATCGGCCGTACCACTTCCACGACCAGGATGACAAGAGGGCGGTTCCTACGACGTAGCATAGCCAGGAATAGGAAGAGACACCTAAATTCCTTTTATAATGCGTGTTGTACTCTAGTGGTTGAACCTAGGACATGTAGATATATAGTGATGGGGTTACATGTTTCTTAGTTGATTGTAGTTCACATGTGCTTTATTTGAGTATAATAGCTTTCGTATAAGTTGTAGTTCACATGTGCTTTATTTAAGTAATGGCTTCCATATAAGCTATAGTTTAGGTGCCTAATTTGCACACTCCTGCTCTATTTTGTTGACATTTGTTACAAGGTAAACTCAATAAATGCCTTTGTGATCTACATGTTCACATTCGGAATATCTCCCTAAAGAAGGGGAGCGTGTTCAGGGATATGGTGATACAAATACAGATTTAGAAGCGTGAGTAACCCTTGCAATTGAGGTGCTTGTTCTATCTTGTCATGTTGGGATGGGAGGGGTTGGTTTAGGTAGCAGTGCAATTCAATTCTTTGATGTGTGGATAGCAATTCAATTTTTACATGCTTGCCGCTTAAGTTTGTTTCTCCAATTTTAGGTTGTGGGTTGAACAAGCCGTAGAGAAGTCCCT